TTACACGCTTCGTCAATCTTTCCACTTTAGCACGTTTTGAACCTCTTTCTCGACTTCGATATCGTCGTAAAGTAATCTCTAAGCTCAAGGCTCTACTCTTCAATTTCTCATTCTGGGTTTGATTCTCTTGCAGTTGTTGTTCAAGGGCATTCTTTTCTCTCGAGTGTAGCTTTCCCTGATGTCTGCACTGCTTGAGTTCTTCACTGCTTTCCCCAATTTCTCTTTTTAATCCTGCCACTTCTTGTCTCCATTCTACAGAAGATTTACTTGAGCTAGCAACTACCTGATCTTTTACCATTCGCTAGTATGATAACTAGAGATTGAAATCCAATATGAATTGCTTCTCCACTTTTTGATCCGGTCAGCTCGACTATTTTGGATGTCAATTTCTACGCTCATCTGGTATGATTCATCCTCCAACCTTTGTAACGTCTTCCTTCACTGTTTCCTCTCATGCTCAAATTCAAGCCTGGCTTGCTCGAGCGGAGACGGGATCACCCTAAGGTGTTCTTCCATAGGCTGAGTATTCTCAGGGTTGCCTATCAGAATATTATCATTGACTCTGTTGCTTCTCCACTCCTCGTACCCTCGAGATAGCCTTAAATCAAATGTGAAGAGATTTACCCGATAGGTGCGTCTCCAAGCATCGACGACCCCTTTAACTTTATTCTTGTAATCTGAACTCAAACTTAGATAACTCCCATGTTTTTAAAAAAAATTAGAGAGATAGTCTCCCCTCTCTATAAAATATTACGTCGTCGTCCTGCCTCTGGTGGCCGTTGGTCACCAAAATTTATCGGGAGACTCGTCTCAACGCGGTGGTCACGGATTCGGGCTCGGTTTTGTGAAAAACGGCCCCAACGCCTCAGAATAAGTCGATAACCCCTCGGCTTCCACCGCTCGGATCTCTGACGTATATCGCTGGATCGAGCCCAAATTTCAGTATGTTGTTCCACTCCTCGAGACGCTCCTATTTACCGTTCGGATCTACGAACCGACCCCCCGAACACCGATGAGGCTCCATCCGAACATAAGGTACTCCTCTTTTAGTTTTATTTTTTTGTTTCGAAAACTAATAAAAAATAAAATTTCCAAAAAAAATCTTTGAACCTTTTTTTTTACTTTTTATTGATTTTTGAATAGGAATGGAACACCCCGATCCAGACTCTTCTAAGGTAAAAATCTAATCACTTTCTTTCTATTGTTTTGTTTACACATGCAATATTAGATTTTTTGTTTTGAACTACGAAAATAATAACAAAAATACCTTCGAAATTACTAAAAAAGTTTCATCTTTTTTATTGCTTTTTTCGATCTGGAGAGTCCCCTTACATTTTTTTGCTTTGGGTTCATATATCCCTGATTTTAGATATTTTTTTCATTCTTTTTCTTGATTTTTCTTTAAACAAAATGATTGAAATCATTGAGTTTTTTCTTTTACTTTTTGCTTTTTACTTTTCTTTTTGTTTTTACTTTGAAACATAATGATTAAAGTAAAATATATGATATTATTATGTTTTTATTTGTAGATCAAGCTGGAATGAATAAAACTGTGATCTACCAGGTTAAGTCAGTTCCGAGTCAGTTTCGAGTCATATCCCCCAATTTTCATCACCCATACCAGGTCCAAGACCGGTAGATCACCGTTTTCTTCTTCTCCACCGAATTCCAGTTGGATCCAACAATAAAAAAATAATAATATTATATATTTTACTTTCATCATTATGTTTCAAAGTAAAAGAAAAAAGAAAAAACACAATAATTTCAATCATTTTATTTAAAGAAAAAGCAAGAAAAAGAATAAAAAAAATATGTTGTAAAATCGGGGGCTATATGAACCCAAAGCAAAAACATGTAAGGGGACTCTTCCGATCGAAAAAAATAATAAAAAAAGATGAAAATTTTAAATAAATTCGAATGTATTTTTGTTATTTATTTTCGTAGTTCAAAACAAAAAAAAATCTGATATTGCATGTGTAAATAAAACAATAAAAGGAGAGTGATTAGACTTTTACCTTAGAAGGGTGTCGATCGGGTTATTCGTGGTCACCGGAGTGTTTGAGCACCAAGGGGGTTCCATTCCCATTCGAAAATCAATAAAAGCAGGAAAAAAGTGCAAAGATTTTTTTTGGTATTTACGTTTTATTTTTTTATTAGCTTTCAAACAAAAAAAATAACAAAAAAAGAGGGAAAAAGGCATTTTACCGTTATGTCGAAGCCTCACAGGCGTTCGAAGGGTCGGTTTGTCGTTTCGAACGTTGAGAAAGAGCGTCTCGAGGAGAGAAGTAATATACTGAAATTTGGGCTCAATCAAACGGTAGAGATCGGAGCCCGGGAAAACCGAGCGGTTTCTGGCCATTTCACGACGATCGAAACGACCCCTGACGAAATGGAGCTCAGATCTGTTACCATCGCGACGAGACGAACAAGCCCTGAAATTTTAGTGGCCAACGATCACCGATTACCAGCCGGATTCCTAGAAAAATGATAAATCCTCTCTACTTTAAAAAAACAAAAAAAAATGAAAATTATAAAAAAAAAACATTTGTTATTTATAGAAAGACTTTAGGGGTAAATTTCGTTTTAAATCCCTGATATTTGCCCATGTTTTGCATTCTAGTCACCTTTAGGGACCAAAATTGTTATTTTATCTTTATGCTATGCATGTTTTATATTTTTTGTTTATTCACTGTTTTATTCCCCAAACTTTATCTTGTTTTTACATTCTGGTCACTAGGCCTTTCATTTCTAATTTGTTGCAAGTTTATTATTTTGTTTTATTTTATTTTAATTTAGTAACTGTTAGTTTCTGATTTAGCTACTATTATTTTAATTTTTGCATTTTGGTCACTGTTTATTTTTTATTTAGTTACTTACTTTTATTTTTTTACATTTTAGTCATTCTTATTTTATTTCGAATTAAGCTTTGATTTTTACTTTATTTTAATTTAGCCCCTTTGCATGTTCAATTTGTTCTTTTTTTGGCTTGGTAATTTTATATTTATGCAATTAGGTCCTTATATTTTATGTTTATTTTATTTTATGTTGTTTTTATTTTTTTATTTGATATTTTTTAATTGTTTAAGTGCTTCCTTTTTAGTTTAATTTATTTAGATTTAGTTTTAAATTAAATTAATATTCGAATCAAGCTTAGAAATTAGGATTTCACCTAGTTTTAATTAGGGAGTAATTCGAGTCGAGTTTTCGCATGAGATGTTTGATTACTCGAATCGATTGCTCGACTTTTAATTTATTAATAATTAATATTTTCTTAAAAAAATTAGGTTTAATACTTTAGATTAATTAAGTTTTTAATTAGTCCTCGACTTTAGAAATTTTCGATTTAGGTCCTTAGACTTTTAAATCTTTTTAGAGCCTGATATTTTAGTTCTCTGACCTTTTTAGTCCCCGAATTTCGGTTAGAATTTTAATTTTTGACATAATTAAATAGTTAAATAGAGTCTCCATTCTAACTTAGTTTTCAAATTAGTCTCTTAATTTAGGAGATAATTCGAAATGGCTCTCGTTTAAAAGCTCGAGGGACCTTTTCGGTTATTATACTCAATAATTAACTAAAATCAAATAGGATTAATATTAGAACATACACATTTAGGTTTGAACCCCTAGGTTCCTTAATTCTCATAATTTGACACCTTAAGTTAGAAAAAGCCTTAATATATCTTGGATTAATTAGGATTGAATAAAATTTTGTCTGATTGCATTTTATTTTAAACTTTAAGGCACTGTTAACTTATTAAAGAATTAATATTATATCTCTCGTGATCATGCTCTGGTAGTGACTATTGTTGATTCCCGAAATAAGTCGATATCCTTTTCAAAACCGCATCTTGATTTTCTAAAAACGAGGCAATGTTCGGTTATTAGACACAATAACTGATCTCTTGCATTTACGCTCAGGAGTGAATGCTATTGGTCTTAATAAACGAATATTTTTTTCAACTTTGCATATAAAGATCAAACTCAAAATTTTCGATTTTAAATATAGAGTAATCAACTAAGTACCAATTTTTGGGCGCTTGTGGGGGTGTTAATCCTTCCCCACGCGTAACCGACTCTCGAACCTGATTTTTGGATTTTCGCAGACCCCAAAACTCAATATTTTAATAAAAATAAAATGTTTTATTAAAATCACCTGATTTTTACGATGTTCCAATCTTACCTTAAATGATTGATAGTGACTCCTCATATTTTTAAATATTTTCAAAGAGAACCATCAAGTCGATATTGGTCTTTCCCCGCCTGGGCGAAAAACAATATCGACAATATTTATTAACAACATAAATTTTTTATATCGAGTTAGAAAATAGACACAATGAACTCTTAGAGTAAATATAATAAATCAAATAAATAATTAGTTAAAAATTATTTTTGAGTAGTTATAAATGATAATATCTGTTTGAAAGACTCTTAACCATTTGACAATATACGGTTATAGATTTCTTATTTAAATTAAAATTAATTTTTTAAAATTAAATTTATTTTTGTAAAAAATAATTTTAAAATAAACTTGTTTAATCAATAAATATCAAGGGTTTGTTTGATTCTAGAAAACATTTTCTATTTTCATTTTCTGTTTTTTTTTTCAGAAAATAGTTTTTATTTTCAATTTTTTGAAAATTAGAAAACATGTTTGATTAATATAAATGAAAACTTAAATTCAATACTAAATTAGTAAAAATGTATAAAATGTATGTGGTATTTAATTTTCTAAAATATAAATAAACAAATATTATTAAATAATTAAATTAAATTATAATTATTAAAAAATCATTACATAAATTTTACATGAGTTATGTAAATATAGAACAGTAAAGTTGATAAGAAATTTCATAACATAAAATTTATTTTAATATATAAAAGAATATAATGTTAACGCATATTTGACATCAATTAAATTTAAAAAATACACAAAAATATTGACATAATCAATAGCACACAAAAGTGTTATTAAAATAAAAAATATGTTTAGTGGTAATTGAGACTCTCAAACTTTTGAGAAAAAATAATTAGTGTATTCCTTAAACTTAGAAAATAAAATTTAACCCTTTAAATAGCATAACCATTTGGGAGTTTATTTAGGGGTACCTATTCTTCACAAAAGGGCCAACTCCAAAACCTACACACCTCTAAGGCTCTAATTGAAAAAGTCATGAAGAAGCTCCCCTCCCGGGTTGGAAAGGAAAGGTATTGTCTCTATCTGGTCGTAGAACATTAGTGCAATCTACCACGGGTGCGATACCTATTCACACCATGCAATCTACTATTCTTCCATTGGCTACTTGTGAAAAACTTGACAAAATCAACCGAAATTTTCTTTAGGGTGGGAATACCGAATACTCCCACAACCATTTAGTCAGCTGGGACACTGTGCAGATCTAAAACAGTTGGGGGACTGGGGATAAGCAAGACAAGACAGATGAATCTAGCCTTAATGGCGAAGAACAACTGGCGGATGTTTAAAGACCAAGACACTTTGTGGACTAGAATTTTCAAAGAGAAATATCTAAAAAACAAAAATTTCATGGAAGCTGAAAATCGCTCTACAAGCTCTTCGACTTGGAAAGGTATCCTTAAAACCCGTGATATTGTGAAACGAGGCTGTAAACATCAAATAAGATCTGGAGATCAGACTAGGCTTTGGCATGATTGGTGGGTGGGATCATCAGCTCTCATCAATGATTATCCAGAAAGAGAAACCTATACCGGAGGATAATAATTGGAAAATCATGGAGTTATAAAACTTAGTTTCGACTGAGACAGTAAATCAGATCAGAAGCATTCCACTACCTATGACTAATCAGAGAAGCAATTCAGATGTTATCGGTTGGGGTTATTCAAAAGATGGAAAGTTTACAGTGAAATCTGCTTTTAGATATATTTTTAATAAAATTCCACAGGAACAGCAGTCGCAAAAGCTTGATTGGATTTGGAGATTGGAAACCACTGAACACATAAGAATGTTTATTTGGCTATGCATCCTTAACAGGTTGAATACAAATGAGATTCGAGAAAAAGATGACCCAAAATCCAAATTGTAATAGCTGCCAGGACGAAATTGAAAGCTTAGATCACTTGTTCAGAAGATGTACTACAGTAAAATCTGTTTGGGAGAAAACTGCTGCTCATCAAGGAGATCCACATTTTGAATTAAGCGATTTTAAAGAAGACTACAGAAAAACAGTACTTCCAAAAGAACGAGTTTTGAAGGAATCAGCTGGGGAATTCTTTTCACAACAATTATTTGAGGGTTAAGGAAGGAGAGAAACAATAAAATCTTCAAGAACAGTACTAGGAACCCAACAGAAATTATGCAATACAGCCTTAACCTAGCCAAAATCATCAAAATTGCTTTAGAGAACTTACAATCGAATATCACCAAGGAGCCGAGATGGGTGAAGTGGAGACGACCGCCCAGATGATCATGGATCCTAAATACCGATGGAGCCTGTAAAACAAACTCAAGATAAGCAACAGCGGGGGGAGGGTAATCAGAAATGAAGAAGGGGACTGGATCCAAGTGTTTATGGTTAAAATCGGGAAGGCAACAAGTTCCTTAACTGAAATTTAGGGATTAAGATAGGGGCTAATTCTTGCCAAAGCCCTAAACGCCAGAAATCTCATCGTGGAAGTAGACGTGAAGTGGCTTGTCGTCTCCTTCAAAAATGAGAGAACTGAAGATTTTCAAAAGGAAGTTATTTTCAAAGATTGTGAAGATTTGATGAAAGAAGGTTGGATTGCTGAAATTCGACATACATGGAGAGAAAGGAACCGGTGTGCCGATCTGTTAGCTAACCTAGCCTTTGAGAAGGATGAGGGAACGCACCTCTTGCATTTTCCTCCTGAGGAACCGGAAAACATTCTGCATTCGGATAGAATAGGAAAAGGAGAGTAGTCGAAAAGTTGTAGTTACTTTCACCCTTATGTACCAAAAAAAAAATATCAAATATTTTTCTACAAAACCTTCTTCATCGACTTTTCTTAATGGCCACGACAGAGGTTAAATTTGCTTTTCAGGATGGTCCAAGGATGCAATAACTTTGAACTCTTAAACTTAGTTTTATTAAAATTTAAATTTGATTTCGGTTAAAATTTGAATTTGAACTAAAAAAAAATAAACTCGAAACATTCTTAATCTTATCTCAATTGAAATTTATAACTTAAGCTCCAACATTAACCTTAAATGCATAAAAATTTTATATTAATTAAAAAAATACATATAAATATGGGTTATGATCCACTTACATAATATAAAACTCTTTAGTTTTACACAAATTTAAGACCGTTAAATGAGTGAAAATAAATTATTGAGATTAACTCCTTTTTTTCCCAGTAAATATCTTCACATTTCATACTTTTAATCTTAGTCATTTGTTTTCACTCTTTCAACGGTCCTAAATTATTGTAAACAATTTAATTTTAAAAAGTAAAATTTTAACATATTAATTTTCAAGTTGTTTGTGAGCTTTTTCGAGTCAGATATCAAATAGTTCATCTCGATTAGGTAAGAACCTAAGTCGAATCCATTCAATTTGAATGTTAAACAAGCTTTAAGTAATTTAAATTCGAATAACCTAGGATCTATTTCGTATCATTTACAACTATGGAGTAAATGTGTTTTGAAGCTTATTGGGATGATATTAGTTATGTTATGAATATCAATCAAGCATTTTATTTTATATTTTATAAAAATACCTCAAATGCCAAAATATATGCTGTTTTTTCTTACCTAAAACGCAAAAAGGGAAAAATACATTTCAGAGATTATTTATAAAAATAGTTCACAATTTGAATTCGGAAAGAGAAATGGATTTAATATAACATTATTTTTTCTCATGTCAATTTAAGTTGGAGTGGAGGTGCAAAATCCGCAAGTTCAACTCAATACAAGGGTGAATTGCAAAATTTGACCTTACGAAAGTTTACAATTGGAATAGCACAAATTACAAAGGTGGAGTTGTGGAGTACAAGAAGGAGAGGGTTGTACTTTTGGTAGTAGACTGCTGTTTAGTGTAGTACATTTAGAAGAATAATCCGCAAAATAATTACCTTTTTTTATTATTATCTTAGTAAGAAACTTGGTACATACGAGGCAAGGGCCAAAATGAAAATATGCAAAAAAATGGAGGATAAAAAATGATATTCAATTTCAATTCCGGTTATCCTTAATGAATCAGTCTGAGTCATGTATAGCAGAGGATTCATGCAATCCGAGGAGCATACACAATCCAACAAAATTCTATCAAGTTAAGAGGGGCAACATACATGTGAATGTAAAATACAGATATTATACATCGGAGCCGATCGGATATCTTCGGCGGCACAATCACACCGCCACCACTTCCGGCCTTTTGCTGGTTTTGATTCCTCTAATTGCTGTTTAAATTGACCATAAAATTCTGTTCAAATGCATTGTTTTATAAGCACCAATATTTATAAATAATACAGTCTTTACCTTCAGCATAGTCTTTGGCACCAAATACAGCTGAACCAGCCACTAGAGCATTTGCACCTGCCTCAATAACCTGTCAGCAAAAGGGGAAGGAGAGTTATAACAGGGAAACCACCTTTTTTTCGAAATATCTGTCCGATAACCGGAAGAACAAAGGGAAAACAATTATAGGGATACGTCTTGGTAAATGATAACGTATAGCATTCTAGGACACAGGTTACGCATGGAGTGTACAGAAGAATGCTGCTGAGAGAAGCACGTGATTCTAATGGGGTACCTTGTATGCATTTTTTGGACCAACACCACCATCAACTTCGATCCAAGGATTAACACCCTGTAATACATATGAAGAAAATGTCACAAGATTTTGAAGCATAAATATATAAAAGATGACCATATAAATAGGAGCAATTTATACCTTCTCTGCACACAATCGTCTCAAGTCGGAGATTTTCTTCACCTGACTCTCGATAAAGCTCTGCCCACCAAAGCCAGGGTTGACTGACATGATCAACACTAGATCCACCACTGTTCAAATAAAATGTTAGTTTCCCCTTCAATTCAGCCAAATGAACTCAAAATATTGGTACCGGAAACATTACGGCGATGCAAAGGATCTTCTCATCCTTCTATGCATAGCCATCGATATTCATAAGCTTCTGATTTTGTAGAAAAACAGACCATTCTTAGACCGTTCTTTTAGCTACATCTTCATCTTTTATTTCAGATTTATTGATGGGCATGGTCTAGCAACTAGCATTGATCAACCCTACTTGACTCTGGTATGAAATACGCTGCCTATGAAATCATCCTTCGACAGAAGACGAAATTCAGAAAAGAAACAGAAAATAAAAAACTCACCATCAAGTACGTATTCTATCGATGTAAGTGGGGTGGCAGGGTTTAAGACGACTCCTGCTTTAGCACCCAGACTTTTTATCTACACAACAAGAAAAGTTCTGAGAGATCTGGGGGTAAACTAGTCAAAACATTGCAGGCAACTGAAAAAGCAAACTAACAAGATATATTATTAAGCATAATACGACAAGCAAACAAAACATTTCACAATGGTTCGGCAACACCTTAATGATCATAAAAACTACAACCTTTGAAAGACGACTCTTGGACATGCAAGATGTATTATTGACCACGAAATTGTAAGAGGCGGTGATACAAGATTCAGGGTAGGAGTGACAATGATAAACCTAATACTTAAAAAGCTTTAATTGCAAAAATCGAGGATCAATGACCGATTCTTAAGTCATGTCTCGGAAGAATAGCGAAGACAAATGAGTTCACAACAAAGAGCTAGCTTCGACAGATGAATTCTGTAGGAATGTATGGACTCCTAATTCATATGAATTCTGAACGTTCCGTTCCCTGCCCATCAGTATATCATGTGGTATGAAGCTCAATACAGGGTAAATGATTCAACATGCATAAATTTCTTTATCCGTAGGCTTTAACCAAAAGACGGAACCCATGTAGTAGAATACTAAAATATATTAAGATGACAACACATGGGGAAAAAATGAAGTATTACTTTTCTGGTTTATAAGAGCTCACTGTTATGAAATGCAATCAAATTTGAGCTTAACTTGATTCCAATATTGTATGTAAAGTGTTAAATTTATCATGGAAAATATGTGAGAATAGCTTGGAGAAAGTCTTACTTGATTAACTGTACGATGCAAATGGATGGTTGACGATTGCTCACAATGGACACTGACTATGTCTGCTCCAGCCTTAATAAAATCAGGAACTCGCTGCTCTGGTTCCACAATCATCTGCAGTGCATTGATATCAAGGTGAGCAAAATATATCTTTTTCGCCAATACTGGTAGATTAGTTATGCAGAAAGAAGCATACCAGATGCACATCTAGCGGAAGGTCTGTAACAGGTCGTAAGGCATCAACCACAAGAGGTCCAATCGTGATGTTCGGAACGAATCGGCCATCCATTACATCAACATGTATCCAGTCACAGCCTGCCACTTCTACTGCTTTCACCTAGAAAATCGTGACATTCAAACGTCAAAGACAATATTCAAATGAGTTCAATACCGAAGAACAGTGCAGATCATATCATTTACAGGAAAAACAAAACAGTTCCATAGTAAGAAATGAGCAATATGAAACCTGCTCTCCCAACTTTGCAAAATTAGCGGAGAGAATAGATGGAGACACAATGATATTGCTTTTTGAGAATTTATCGAGTCGAGATGTTGCCTTCACTACCGTAGCGATTCTACTCCTAACAGTTTAAGAAAACAAAGTAACAAAAGCATATTAGAATATTGTATGAGACCAGGAAGAAGAAAACGCAAATCTGATTGAAATCATGCATCTATTTCGTAACGTATAGCCTGTGTTTAAAAAAGCGCCGCTTAAGCGCGATTAAAGTGCTAAGCGACTCGAGCGAGGCCCCTGGCGATTCAGCATAGCAAAAGCACTACGAATTCATTAAGCGGTAGTAATCGGCGCTTTTGCAGCGCTAATTAGCGCTTAATCGCGAGTTTAGAAGATACGATTCTGGGCTTTAGCAGATATGATTTTTGGGCTTGTTTAGGGTTTAGTGGGCTATTAGATTATCAGGCTTAGATCGGCTTTTAGTTTAGGCGGGCTAGGGTAAAAAATGCGATTGAAATAGATTGGCACAATCTAGATTGAATGACATGGTGTTTGTGAAATTCAATCGTGCCTTGAAGTGCCGAGCTAAAAGTAAGGAGACCGATCCCATTATTTTGCAAGATATTGATGAGAGCAAGTGGTTGATGGGAAGAATGGAAGATGATGAAGATGATGATGAGGCATGTTTGTTGGTGCGGATTTGACATGGAGTGATGTTGCTAACGCTTCCGGTGCATATGAGCCTAGTTATCTAACTAGAGCATCAAAAGTAGTGAATGATGGAGTCGGACCATCGAGAAATGATAAAGGAAAATCTCCTGCTCATAATCCTATCTCTAGTAGACCATCTCGTAGATGCTTAGTTGATGAAGATGAGATGGAAAAAGATATTGGAGTGTCTAATGATGAAGGAGATGGTGTTGTCCGAGTTGATGACGATGACGATTTAGAGGATTTTTAGTTATAAGGAATTGAGGGTTTAGAAAAATACTTTTGTTCATCTCGCTTTAGACTACTTTTGGTGTAAACCATCTTTTGAGATTAATATGCTCGTATAGTCGTATGGTTAATGGTATATAAGTATTTAAGTGTTTATAACTTATAAGTAAATTGAGAATTATATTTTGGTGTTTAAGTACTTATAAGTTTTGAATATATGCATTGACACTTTGATATTTAAGTATTTATAAGATAATTTATAAATATTATGTATTTTTTTGCGAATTTCGGCCTTTCTGGCGCTTCGTGTGCATAAAACGAGCGCTTTCGCTTAGCGCTTAGGCGTCTAGGACCCTAGGCGCTTTACGCTTTTTAAAACCAAGCGTATAGCCATACTTCGTACAAAGAACATAAACAAACACGCGGTATAGCATGAAAGATACAAAAGATGACAGCTTGAAACAAAAGAATATGATATTTGAATTATTGGCCTAAGAAAGACCCTTCTAGAGACTCTCCCCTCGTTCAGAACAATGAGGGCTGTCTAATTATGGACTTCGACTGAAGAAGCCAAAATTTGTGTGGAAAAAAGGGGGAGACTATAAAATAAAGTTGCTCAAAATCATGGAAAATTGAAAAAATAAAGGAAATGAAGCGGCTAAATGCCAGTGATCTTACTGGAACTCGGAATAAAACAAGGGAATGATACTAAAAACATTGTGAAACAGATTATAGAAAGTGGCATCAATATTAAAAGCATACTCAGATGTTCAGTGTGATTTGCAAATATAATATTCACTGTAATTGGCCACAACATCGCCAACTCTATTTCGCCATTTCAGATTTCTCCGCAACCAATATTCACCGTAATTGGCCGTGATAACATCTATTACATTCACAACCACAAAACAAAAGTCCAAGATAGAGATTTTGCGCCTAAGTAAGCACCAACCATACAACTACAATTTTCATCAAATTGCTTCGCCATATACCAAACATTAAGTAATCAATAATTTCACGGTAAACAAAACCCCTAAGCTTTTTCGTTACAATTTTAACCTACCAAAATTTCTTGATATATACATATACACACACACAAAGAAATTTATTGTACAAGTCCTTTACTTTTCATCACAAACCACCTTCATTTGTACTGAAAACATTACAAAAAGAAAAAAGAAAGAAACTTTCTACCAGGAAAAAAAGTTAAATTACAAAATTCCAAACAAAATTAAGGTTCTTTACAAGGAAGTTTCAGCATTTCTGGATTGGGTTTTTTTTTCCAATGTCAATTAATTTTGCTTCTTTTCCATCTAAAACTACAATGAATACATTAAAAAGACCAAATAAGAACATCAACCCAGAAAAGGGATTCAAGATTGAAGAAAGATTACCTTGTAAAAGTAAGGGACTTGGGTTGAGAAAGGTGGGTTCTTGGGAGCCTAAGTCCCCCTCCAAAGCCATTAACTTGAGTTGATGAACACAACGAAGAAGCTGTTGACATCTTTACCTCCTTTTTTTTTCCCTTCTCTCTTTTGATGAGCAGTTTGTAAATTAGAGCCTTGTTTTGTATGTTAAAATAAGTCTTGGAAAGAAAGTGTCAAAAGCAAGGTTTTGAAAACCCGACTGGCTCGGCCGGTTTAATCGAAAATCGTTGTCTAATTCGATTTATTCTACTCTGATTAAACCGTTATTAATGAATCGTAAAAATTTGTTGAACCGACTTTGAACTATTCGAATCGGATCCGGAGTGAAACACTAAGAACCGACCATCAATAAAAAAAATTAAAAAAAAAGTTAAAAAACTACTTTTGCCTTTTTATTTCTAACTTTTTGTTTTCAGCTTTTTAGTTTTTTTTTTTATTTTTAAGATATTTGACTTTTATTTTGAAAGTTAATTAATTTTTGTTTTGGTTTTAATGTGTAATGTTTGGAGGTTTTTATTAGAAGTAAATCAAGTAATGAATGATGGAAATTTAGTGTTGTATTTAAGTATTATAGTTGTGGGATGTTTTTAGTTTTTTATTAAATATTTTTTTTATTTAATTTTTTAAATAATTATGACGTCGTTTGATTCTTTCGATTAATCTGACCGATTTGATTGATTGAACCAATAAATCAATAATACGATCAATTACCGATCCGATTCTGAAAACCATAATTGAACAACAACAAAACGGACAATATTACTAAATTTTCTAATAAAACTGCGTAATGTGACACGTTGCTTTGATTTGTGGGTTGCTTTGCTTATCTTCAATGGTTGGTGCTGCGTGCTGCTTTATATGTACAAATTAATGGACGTAATTTGATTTAGCTTGACCAGTCAGTTTACTTTCAATCAAGATGGGATGATTTAAATGGTTGATGTGGTCGTTAAATTTAATATTTAAAATTATAAATTATAAATTTTAGTATATTTAAATATAATTATTTTTAAATTTATCAGGTGATTTTAATGATTGAAAGAAATGTAATCTTAGACAAAAATATATAATTGTTTTTTATATAATTTGAAGAACTATATCTAAATTCATTTTGATTTTAATTATTGAATTCACAATAATAATAATACAAAATATAAAATAAATTAAGTTATCACATAAAAAAAATTTGGATGTTGAATTTGAATCATAATTCCGTTATGAGATTTAAATTGTAATTTATCATTGCATTAATTTTTAGTTTTATCAATTTTTCAAAGAATTTAATTATTATTTTATTTTTAAAAAAAGTTATTAAAGGGATAAATTTATTGTATCGATGGTGGTTTATAGTTCACTCAAACAGAAAATAACAATCGCGGTAAAAATAGTCATTAGCCGATAATTTTATGATTTGGGGTAGAGGTGTGCAGGGGTTGATGACAGCGATGACGGCAACAAGATCAAAGAGAGGATTAAAGCATAGGAGAGAAATTTAGCGTTTAAAAAAGATTTTTTTAGACTTTTTCTTTTTAGTAGAAGGGGTGAAAATGAACTTTTTAAAAGTTCAAAATAAAAATTAAAAATTTATAATTTTTTATTAACGTGTCATATTAGTAATTTAATACAAATTAATATTCGAATAATCAAAATATTATAATCTAAAACTGTAAGTGATTAAAATCTTTTTTTTTGAAAAAACTAATTAAAATAAAAATAAATTATCAGTATTTGCTCTAAAAATTTGGACTTAATAGATTTGTTATGAAATATAAGGAAAATGATTTTTTAAAATTAAAAATAAAGATTCATGTAGATAAAATTAGGTTTTTTGCCAACGAGGGTTAGCATAAATGGTTGAGATTCAAGAATTTGAGTTTGTAAAGTTAAATTTGAATCCTACCACTGTTACTCTTGGTAGACAATCTATAAATTCTTATGTAAATCTTAAATGATTCTTAAGTATGCTCTGACCCTCAACTGGAGAGTACCAAAAAAAGAAGATAAAATCAGTTTTTAGAAATTGTCAAATATGCATTATGTTAATGAGATGTAAAAAATATTGAATAGAAGTTTATATTAAAAAATATTTAGTAATGTTAATATAAACGAATTAACTTATTAATAATAAAAAACGAATGATATAATTTAATTTAATTAAAGGTTTGTAATTTTATAAAAATCTTAAATTTAGAAATATAAAATGAAAAATATTGAAATATTAAGGACCACCCTCAGATATGGAAGCAGAATTTATTAAATGAGAACCCTACTTGGCAACGGCCTTCATTTTGTGTTCAGACTTTTTTTTTTCCTTATCACAATTTAATATGAAAATGACAAATAAAATAAATTGAATAATACAGAGAGACTCTGAGATAACTTCACTTAATTAAAATTCTAATATTTTGCAGCACAATTTTAAATTCATTCTCGACGGCACTAATTATCACAATCAACAAGATTAAATATATCATCCCAATAGTCACTGTTCTCATCATTACGACCCTCACTTTCGCAGCCACTAAACTCTTTTGAGAACCCTTTAATCAATTTCAAATCATCATCGTCGACACTGCTGCAAGTTCTCATGTTCCATGGCTGATCAGAACCCAAGAATTTGGTGAACAGCTCTTCATTATCATTTAGTACTTCATTTGACAGAAACGTTTCTACTATTGTCATCGTTGTCGTCGTTGTCGTCATTGTCTATTACTGTTTCCTCGAGTTGCAGGTTTTGCCAGGCTTTTAATATATCAAGGCAATGCAGGTTGAGCGGGGCGATGACGCCATTGTAGGCCTGCCTGCAGTTTAGTTGTTTGGATGACTCTTTAACTAACCTTGCTTCGGCTTCGAGTCGAGCACTCTCCCATTGAGCCATGTGAGTTAGGTTCGACACCCATTTTGGGTCACCATTGGCTAAACCAATTGGTGCAGCCATTGGTATATGAGTAGAAGGATCGGTCTCCGTCGTGGCTAACCTTTTCTTTATATGCGTTTCCAATAATTCTTGATGTCGTTATCCGTTCTATTTGGTAGATAAGTAGCAATTGCAGACCACCTGCAAGCACAAGTTAGCCAAAAAAGAACTCGATCCGATCAAACCCGAACCCGAAAATTTATACATGTTACCCGGGATAGCATGTAGTTGAATGATGGTCTTTTGTTCTTGTGGACTGAACTTTCCTCTCTTGATATCAGGTCTGAGATAATTAATCCATCGAAGTCTTAACTTTTCCCACATCTTTGAAGGCCTATTTCGAATCAAAATAAAACGCAAAACGTAATCAGAACTATAAAAAAATGATGAAAAAAGACTTGAAAATTTTGAAATATTTTTTGAAGAGAAAGTTGGACCGGCTTTCTCAGGTAAAGAACGCCAGCTTCCATGGCCATGTGAATTAAATCATCAGCGAAGAAAAGGTGTGAGAGCAGCGGGAATTCCTTGACCAGCTTAATCGGTTTCCATGACCCACCGCCCTCTGAATGAATTGAGGCAATCATTCCATACTAGACACTTATTTTTTAAGTAAGCTTTTAATAAATCAAATACTCTAAATGTATATAATATATTTATAATACTATTTTGACTTCGCATTTTTCTGTTATTTAATTTTCTTTAAATTTAACTCTTATTTACAATTTCGTATTACTTAAAATTATCAAAGGTTTATCTTTATCCAAACTTTCACCTCTACGTATTACTAATTTGGGTTTATTATTGTGTAATATTTTATTTTTGATGATTTAATATAATATATTAGATTATTGATTTTATATCGATAAAATCTTGATTCTAATACTAAACTCGTGTCTTTCATGTTCATTTCTTGATTTGGCATATTTTTTACGCTTTCTTGTTTATTATTTTCTTTCTTTAATTAAAGTCATTTTGAAGATACTAATTTTTTTACCCATTTTATTTATTTATTTATTATTATTATAATAATATTATTATTATTATTATATATATTATTATTATTAATAAAAAATAATTACAGGCCCAATGAAAACTGGACCGGCCCAGTTAAAACAACTAGAACCGGCCCAGACCAAAATGAAACCCTAAATATTTAGGGTTTCAGCTAAGGTTTCTAAACCCTAGCACTGTTGCCGTCGCCGCCTCCTCCAAGAACTCCCAACAGCCGCCTCTGCCGACACTTCCCAAGCCAGATGGTCCAACCAGCTGCTGCCGACGCCTTGCTGCCACGTCGCCGCCTCAAGGAACACTCCAGAACGCCAGATGGCAACCAACAGCCTTCCCTACAGTGAGTCACCAGCCTAGCTTTGGTGACTCACTGAGGTTTCCCTCTCAGGACCGGTCCGACGAGAGCCTCATTGAGGCTATAAAGCCATCACCTGCAAGACGAATAAAAAGAGACAGGGGGCAACGGAGACAGCAACCAACAGACCAGAGAGAGCAACGAAGAGATACCGAACAGACAACAGAAAAATGAAAAAATAATAATAATAACAACAACCCTCAGCAGCAATCAAAATAGAAAGAAAGAAAGGAGAAAGAACTTACCAAAAAAACCACGCGGTGACGGAGACGCTACGTGCCGACGAAACATTCGAAATACCCGAAGGTATTTTCATAGATTTGCTCCGATCAGGAGCTTTTTAAGAAAAACGGTCACCGGAACCGTCATTAGGACGGTCCGATCTATGTTTTGGTAAAGAATAAAATTTCCCGGCCACCGGATGCGGTGGCCGGCGGTAGAGTTAGTGGCGGCAGACGACTGCCGAGTGGTGGCCGACCTTCCTCCGATTGGAGGAATCTAGAGAGAGGCGAGATAGAAATCTCTCTCTCAGTTTAAGAGAGAGAAGAGAGAAAAGAGAAATGAGATGCTGGCCCTTCGGGCTAGCCAACATAGGGTATTTATACCCTCTCTTAAACGGCGTCGTTTAAGGGAGGACCTGTGTGTAATTTGGTAAGGGTAAAACCCTTTCCGCAGCCATTATAATTTTATAACCTTATATTTTAGTCACTGAACCCAATTTTAGACCTTTATAATTCGATTCTTTAATTTTAATTTTATTTATTTTAGTCCTTTATATGAAATAATATATTTAGGATAAATATCGCATTTAGTCCCTCATAGTTTTATAAATTTTATTTTAGCCCTGAATAAATAATTAAGGTTAAATTAAAATATTAGGATATAGATTTCTTAATATTTCGAATTTGATCTTTTATTTTCAATACTTTATATTTTGATCATATAATTTTAATTTTATTTATTACATTGCAATTTTATTTTATTGTTATATATTTAAATTAATAATTATTATTATTTTAATCATATTAATATATTATTTGATTAATTTTATAAAAATTTTATAATAATGTTTATTTATTTTAATATCAAAGAAAATGGCAGTCTTAAAGCAACTAGATGTCTGTTTTCTGATATTTTTAAATAAATAAATATTTTACTTTTATAAATTGTATATATTAATCTATTTTTTTTAGATAAATGTTTTAATATTTATTTATTTTTTAATATCAAAGGAAAGAGCTGTCTTAAAACACCTAGAAGCTCTTTTCTGATATTTCTAAATAAATAAATATCTTATTTATATAAATTAATAAATTTACTTAAAATTATAGTAATAAATTTAAATTAAATATATTTTGAATTTTAATTTCTAATAATAAGAGACAATTTATAATTAAAAAGTACCAATTTTGGGCGTTGTAGGGGTGCTAATCCTTCCCTAAACGTAACCGACCATGAATCCCTTTTTATTATCAAAAAGAATGAATATTTGGTTAAAACGCAGATCAGTTTATCTTTTAATCGATGTTTTCTTAAAAACTCTTTTAAAAATATGATTTTTTAGGTATTCGACCTACCTAACCCAAAAGACCGATGGCGACTCCCAAATTATTTTAAAAACCATTTATTCACATCACTTTTCCCGCCAAGTAAGTACAAAATTCGTGCCCGGGCGAAAACCGGTTACGACAGCTTGGCGACTCTGCTGGGGATGCTGTCAAACTTTAAATCAATTGTAAATTGTCTCTATCAGTTGGAAATTAAAAATTCATATATTTAATTTTTAATTCTTTTCTTTTAAATTTTTTATTACTTATTATTTTTATATTATTTTATTAATATTTTTTTTATTTTATTCAAGTATTAATTATTTTATTTGTTTGTTAGAGGTTTGAACATTTCTCCTCACACACAACACTTGCATAACATAAAGCTCTATAATTGAGTTTGTCCCTTTTAAGTGGGAGTGAAAGCGACGTCTTCGTGAGAATTTATTCTCCGTGTCAGACCTAGCAAGTAACTTTCGGGGTTCATATGCTCTATGTCTTCGTGAGAATTTATTCTCCGTGTTAGTCATAGAGAAATATCCCCTCGAATTGAACTCGATCCGCTTAAGTCTGTAATGGACTAGGATTGAGGGTTTGATAGCCCAAGGGGGCATCAACAAGGACAATTCGAGTACCTTTACTCCTAGAACTGAAAACATGCATATAATAAACCCTAGAAACTCTCCCGATCTAAAACCATGTCGAAATTTTGTCAGTAGGTATACACAAAGGAGAAATAAGCTCTAGCTTTTAATTTATTTTATTTCCTGAAACAAATCATGGAACTAGAAAGCATGAGGTTAGGATTTATACCTTGATAAATAGATTTTTTTCCATTAATTGGTACTAACTATTCTATTTTTTCTTATTTCTTTTGCTTGCATTGTATGATCATGGAATAATCAAAAGGTGTTAACTTGAAAGACTGTTCATCAAATTGGAAAGAAATCGTAAATGGACAAAAAGTTTTATGATCAAACAAAATATGATACGGCCAAGGAAAAACATCCTGAAGAAACTACGACGATCGAGGGAAGTTTTGTACATAGAGAACCAGTTATATTAATACCAAAAGTGTTACACAAAGATCCTACCAGATTGATACCAAAAGTAGTCTATGGTAAGAACAACAGTCAGGGCATTTAGAGTAGTGGAGGTTTTTATGAAGCTCAAGCATGTTATTTGAAGGACTTGAATGACCAAACAAGAAATTGAGCATAGAAATGAAAACCATGCATGAAGATTTTCAGAAGATCAGTCAAGCCTTTCGAAATGCTGGCATAGGAAACACCCCAGAAGAGTGGATCACAGAGGTCACCATGCTGAAAAATAACTGCAATATATATGAAGATCTTATTCAAGAACTTCTTGGACAGAAAGGTTCTCTTACAAGGGAAAATGAGCAACTCCGAGAAGTGACACAGAAGATGAAAGAGAATGTCATGGAAGAAGTTGCAGTCCAGACAAGCAATATGGTTCTTAAATGATAGATTTAGCTAACTTTACAAGGAGATGAAGCAGACTGAATACTCAACTTTTGAGCATGAATGGAAACTAACTGGGCTTTGGAGAAGTTAGAAGTGAAAGATATCACTATATGTAAAGTTTTGTTTGATGTACCGAAACTTTTGTGTTCAATGAAATCTGTTCTAAGATAATCACTCTTGAGTAACACCTTTTCATACATACATTTGCATTTTGCATCCTTGCATTTTTCATTTTGCATTTATACTTTTATGTTTTCTTTTGTATTGCACAATTTACATTTTTATGGTTACATTCACATTTTTATATTTGCATTTTTACGTTCGTATTCATATTTTCATTTTTTGCATTTGCATCTTTGCATCTTTACATATTTACATTTTGTTTAAAAATATTTTGCATACATTTAAACATGTGGAATAATTCGGGGAAGATTCCATGACATAATTTTTGAAATCAAAGTGGAGCTAACTTGGTCTTCCTAAAGAGAGATAATAGCTATGAATGAGATTTTAGCAAGGGTTGGTAGAATTGAGAAATTGCAAGAGCAACTTATCAAGACTCAACAAGAGATGACTGATCATGCAAAAAAGTTTCAGGATGATTTAAAAGAGCAAATGACCAAG